ACCAGCCCCCGAAAGACTTGATCAAGGAGCTTGGTCTCGAGTCCATCTTTCCCGGCAACGAAGCCGAGCAGCGATACGCCGCGGCCTGTATGGGATCGCTGCACAAGCGACGTGAGGAGGTCATCGCAGAGAAGGCGACGGCGGCTGAGCCGGCAGTTTTCGTGCTGGACATGTGCGCCGTGGATCCCAAGTTCCAGGGTAAGGGCATCGCCAAGAAGCTGGTCCAGTGGGGTCTCGATGAGGCGAAGCGACGTGGCGGGCTTGAGCTGCTCCTCGAGGCGTCAAGTATGGGTAGACACGTGTATTCTAAGCTGGGTTTCAAGCAAGAAGGTCCAGAGATCGAATATGACGTTGAAGAGCAATTCGCGCACCGAGACAGACCTTCGAATATCTTCATGAGGACCGGGGACGGCCAGTGACGCTCTAAAGGGGAAAGCGACACAACTCGGTTTTCTAAGTAATAGCTCAAATGATACACTTATCGTTGCAATACTACCAAGCTGTTGCATAGGAGTCGTTTAGAGGGGGAACTATGTGCTCATGTGTCACACGACGATTTCACACGCAATTTCCAAGGCCTTGCACATGAATTTTGTTCAATGATATTATGACTACAAGTGTATACTCAAACAACTATCAAACTACGAAGGCCTAAACGGCGTTGGAAGCAATTTCTTGCTTGGTGTGATGTTCAGAGAAAGGTCTCTCATCACTTGCCTTCTCGTTCGGGTTGCTGTTGTCGGTGTGGACCGATGCTCGCTGGAACGCAGACTCGTCTTTGTCCTTGCGAGTGATGTAGCCTGGAGGCACCCACTTGGTGGAAGAGTAGGGCTTGACGCTTGGGTCGCTGTACATTCTGTCGACGTTCTCGAGGGACAGCATCTTCGTCTCGTAGAGGAAGAACCATACGAGGAAAGCTGCGGCCAAGTTGCACCCAGCAAAGACGAATCCGTATGCGAAAGAAATACCGTTGGTGGCAAAGGGCGTCAGGAACGAGATGAGGAAGTTGCCCAACCAGTTACCTGCGGTTGCGAGAGATGCCTGCTTGGCTCTAGTCCGGAGAGGGAAGGTCTCTCCAATGACGCACCATGCCATAGGTCCCCAGGTCTGTAAGATACATAGTGAGCAAGAGTAATCGTTGAAGTTGGCAGGGAGAAGCTTACGCTAGCGAAGGAAGCAATGAACATGCAGGCCGAGACGATCATGACGATTCCGCTGGTTGCGCTGGTTTCGGGAGGAAGGGCAGTGCCGACAGAGGCGAAGATTGTAAGCCAGGCAAACTGCCACAGAGCGCCAATGAACATGGGCCAGCGTCTACCGTATCTTTCAACGGCATAGAGACCATAGAAAGTGCATACAACGTTGACGGCACCGAGAATAAGCTGAACCATGATCGGATCATCGATACCGGCCGACTCGAAAATTTGTGCCCCGTAGTAGAAGAAGTAGTTGATGCCGGTCCTATGATGAATGTTAGACACTGTTCTTAAACGTTGAAACTTCGATGTACCGCAACGTACCACTGCTGCAGGAAATGAATGCAGATACCCAGTATCGTTCTGTAGACGGTCTTCGGGATTCCAGAGGATCCAGTGAAGCACTCGAGCCAAGTACCGTATCCCGTCTTAGACTCCTCCTCAATGACCTTGAACATTTCCTGGAGATCCTTCTCGACGGTCTCGTTGTGCGGGTCATCCTTAAGACCACGGAGGCGCGCCATAGACATGCGAGCGCCTTCCCAATCCTGGCGACCTGCGAGCCATCGAGGAGATTCGGGAACGGCGAGGATTCCCAAGCCCAATGGCAGGGAGAAGCCGATACCAAGACCGATAACGATGCGCCATGAAGCATCGGACTCTTGGATGTTGCGAACGCCGAAGTTGATCAAGTTGGAAATGAGGATGCCAAAGGTGATGAGAAGCTGGTAGGATGCGACAACGGCACCACGAATCTCGCGGGGAGAGCACTCAGACTGGAACATGGGCACACCGATAGACAAGTTGCCGACACCCAGACCAGCGATAAATCGACCCATCATCATGTGGACCCATGAGTTCATGGCTGTGATCTGGATGATGTTTCCAACAATGAACACTGCGACACCAAAACTCAAACTCCTCCGTCGGCCCCACCAGTCGGCCGTGTAGGCACCTGAGAGCGCACCGATGAGAGTACCGATACTCATGAGCGACACCATTAGGGACTGGGTGATGGGGACCCATTGTGGAATACCGTCAGCATCTGGTGCACCAGTTGCGAAGCGTCTTTTGAAGTCCGTGAAAAGAAGCATGGATGAAATTTGACCAGTGTCGTAACCGAAAAGGAAGCCTCCTATGCTGGTGATTACACCGAGCAGAAGCGACTCGATGCCGCAGTCGGCGCCATTAATGCGAATGGACCTTAACGTCATGTTAGTGACTACCAAAGTGTACTGTGTAATAACTCATTCTTACTTCTTGCCCAACCCCATGTTTTCAGATGTTCTTGTGCGGTACCAATATTGAAATTGCGTGAAATCTGGAATAGTATGCAAGGGAGCAGAAGCTCTTCGCTCAAGGACTCATGCAGGTGTCCTAATAGTCCAGTGAAGGAGTAGCGGAGACAGGATGAAAGGTCGGTTCAAGACCAGTTATAGTGGGAAAGCCAGAGAGCGTGACAAGTGATGCTCATGTCTCTCGAGTATGCACCATGATGGCTTTATACTGCAGCCACATCCTGCCACTTCGCAGATGCGGACGAGCCTGAGTCGGCTGACCGACTACAATGATTGGGGACGATGCTATGACGTTGCCCCAGAAGCCGACTCGGTCCTATCCTTTCTCCATACTGGGGCGCAGACCGGCAAGGTTGATGAAGGCTCGATGGAAGGTGTGGGATGACCTTGGGAAGTACTTGTTGTATCCGTACATGGACACGATCCACTTTCATCCCACGCCTTCATCTGGGGGAGACAGGAAAGGCGCCACCCACGCGACCGACGGCCAGAAGACCCATGCATCGACAATCCGGGGTTGGAAGGGCGCCGCGCATTCCACCAAGGCAGGAATTGGTGTGAGCGAGTCGTGCAAGCTAGAGAGCTCGCAGTGCCAGCGAGTTGACAAGCTAAGGCCGGACAATAGACAAGCTGAATAGGGCGAAAAGCACCTGTTCATGGGGCTCACTGTGCCGACAATGGTTGGGAGACTTGAGGGTGAGGCTTCAGATCGGCTGCTTGGCCCCCGTCATTGCCGACAGCGAGGCAGGGGTACGCGGACATTGGCATACGGAATCGATTTGTGAAGCCAAGACACCGGCTTATGCTGCCAAGGTGAGTCCACGGTGGAAGGCCAAGCTCTCAAACCGCGACCGAGTCTCCCCGGAAACTCTGCGAAGCTGCTGATTCTTCCACCTAAACGCATGTCAAAACCTGCAATAGGCGAAGGCGGAACCGGCAACGTGGGGCCGACTTTGCACAACGCAACGTCTTGGAATTGAACACCAGGAATAAAAAGTAATGACGATCCCCAGACCCTCACGTGCGAGTCAGACAGCGGCGCGTCCGACCTGTTTCTGCTCGTTTAGAAGTTTATCGCGCTGTAAGATGCAGCCAGGTCACTGGTTGGCTCCGAGACAGAATGTGACGTGCCTAACTTGTGAGTGCAACGCGTTCTGTTCAACTTAACTATGGACTTCCAAGGCTGCTGGCTAGGCGAATGTTGTCACTTGGCAATTGGCAAAGTTGTGCTTTTTCAGTCTGGGCAGACTACTACTCCGTAACACGAGTCAATGCCATCCCTGCGATCCCTCCGTGATTCAGCGCGCTGGACGCCTCTGGCATTACCTAAAGTGCTGCTTGTTGGTCCATCTTGTAAAGTTTATCATTGACAGTAGAATACTTGAAAGCATTTGGCTGTAAGTTTCTAAGATATTCATATGAATTCTAAGTATTACTCGATGAGGGAGAAGCGTGAGTGGCTGTGATCTGACAGTCTGCCTCACGTCCGCTGAGAAGTTATGCCGTATTTTGAGATTCCTGTTGGCCTTCTCCATATTTGTTGCACAGGTTCCAGCTTCCTCGTTCGATAGCTTCACAGTACAGTTTAAAGCTTCCATTATGCTTCTCCGCCCATCTTTCTGGAGCTCCCCATGGGACATCAGTTATGTAGCAATACTTCCGACAGCCTTCCATCGGGGCAGCCGGGGAACTTGACCGCCATGCGCGGAGCGTCGGGGCCCCAAATTGCATGCCCCGTTCTCCGCAGTCTCGGGGTGGAATGTGGAGTGTAACGGTCCGATTGCGAGTGGGAATCGCCCAAGACTCTCGCTGTATTCAACGGACCGACTCGAACGTCTTTGATGGGGAAAGGAGAAATGATAAATGGAGAGCGATGTCTTGGCTTTCTTGGATTTAACACGTCTGCTACCATCTATTTCGAGTTTTCTCCATCCTTTTGCTCAATCGCCGGGACTGATTCCCCAATCGCCCCCCAGAATTGTGTCCAGTTCTCCATGTTTTGCACCATCCGATGACCGTCCCAAACTTTTCGATGCTTGCCTCCTGTTCATCCCGCACTTCAGTCTCACCGGAGAGCCTCCGAAATCCTCCGCACGTATGACTTTGGGGGAGAAAGGGGTAAAAGAGGGTCGTGGTACCACCGAGTCGGTGAGCTCGAGCGTGGCCTCTTCTAGAACGAATGTCTCGCAGCCTGCGACAGCTGACCGACCATTCTCTCCACTGAATACGGACGCGAGAGTCGGGACGAGTCGGAAAGCTGACCATTTTGCAGAGCGGAATATCAGAATTGCGTTCCACTTGAGTCCCCTGTGAGAAAATATGCTGATCAAGCGGCAGGCGAATGAATTTTTTTCTCTTCCGGGCGGCTAGGGTTTGGCTACGAACGGTAGGCTGCATATGCCCAACCCAAGGAGGAAAATCTTTGAGGGTTGCCACCCTCTCACGAGGCTAGGGAACCACCATTTCCACAGCCGAAAGCTTGAGACCAAATTCTCGTTTTTGAGCCTCAATCCACGTGAACCACGTCTCCTTCCGTGAAGCCCGGGGAGTGTTCCTGCGAGTAGCCCTTCTGGTTGGTGTAGAGTCGCTTCCCTGTCGCCTTATCCACGAAGTCGCAGTTAAAGTGCGTATGACCGAACGCCCAGACCTTGACATTAGGGCTCTTCCAACAATCTTCGCTTCGCAAGTCTGTTTGGAAACCAGATTTGATGTCGCTTTGAGCATGACAAGGTTCAACAGCACGGATATCTTCGGTCGGGCTGTAGTGCGTGAAGATGACAATCTTGCGGTCAGAGTCGGCGGATATGGCGTTGACTTTGTCATTCAACCAGGCTAGATCTTGCTTGTGTAATTGACAATGCTCTTCGACTGTCCAGCCATCGATCTCACGGAAGTCGTTTAGGCCATTGCTAACTGGTGTCATCTTCGATGATGGGACATTGGAAAATAGTGTGCATCCCAGTACTGTTATGTGGCTGTCGGGAATTCGGTATTCTCTCTGATACATGAAGACGAACTCGCCAACTGCGCTATGAAGATTTTTCTTCCGTTCGTTTCGATTGCTTTTTCGAATTTGTCCAGCGCCTCCCACGCATTATCCCAGCTGGAGCCATAAGGCTCGTGATTCCCGAGGACATAGAAGACGATTTCAAATTGGTCCAGCAAGTTTCTGAGAAAGCCAATGAAGCCGGGATCTCTAACACATCCGATATCGCCGATCAAAGCCAGATATGGCGCTGTTGGTACAATGTGATAGTTTGAGTAGTTGTTGTGTTCGAGATGTAAATCGGATAAGATCTGGAAGGAGGCCATTTTGTGGTATCTGATGTGGCGGAATGCTGAGGACGATTGTGTTGTACGCGATCTAGAGGGTATGATAGACTTTGTTGCTCGAAAACACCTCCTCTGCCTTCAAGTAGCTACCTTATTATATAAAGTATTCAAGTGGGTAAATTTTCAGCACGTGTTTCTGGGCTTGACGCCGCGGAGAAACTAGAATGTCTGTACCTCTACGGGTTTTGAATGTTGCGCCCAAAGCATACGTTAAAAACCCCTCCTTGAGTGTACCTTGATATCAAGAAACCTAAACTATATCTTCAAATGACTCACAAAGAGGAAAGGCACTTTGACAAATTTATGAACACTTTGACGCCCTAAGTCTGAACGGAAGCCTACTTTGTCTACTTTAATCTGAGGGGATCAGTTTCGATAGATCAGCCACCACCAGGAGTTTTATATTACTAACTAGTCACGGGAAGTTTCTTATTCAAGTTTAGGGGTTATCTAGGGTAATGCCTTCGGTAATGTGACCGTCGTGTCTTGAAAAGAGGATTGGGACTTAATTCGACAACAATTCCCTGATTTCACAGATCCTACTGTCCTTGTGGGACTCCTCCAATCTATCTCCGAGGGCCTGCATCTGCAACACCATATTTGGCCACTCGTGATCCGGAACACAGGCGTCAATGATCCTAGTTACAATATACGTCATCGCCCGACAAGCAAGACCGGTATTCGCATCGTTTCTCTTACCCTCAGCTACCATGTGCCGCTTTGGAAAGATTGTCGTGCTTCGAATGTAGGAGGTCAATACCCTGTACTGCTGCATACGTATCATGTACATGGTGCGGGAACCAACACACCTCCAGTCTCGGAAAGAGAATATGAAGCAGTTCCCGTTTGCCGGCCAAAATCTTCGCAATTCTGCGATGTTTGCCACGAGGTAGTTGGCACGGAAGCCCCAACGAAGCTGATCATCTAAGACGGCGTCGAATGCAGCGCTCAGATTTCCCCGACGAAGGTCGTACAAGTGCTGGTATACACCGAGGTAAAATAGTGGTTCTCTTTGAAGTCCAGCTTCCCAGTCACTACTTGGAAACGTCATTTGGAAGAGTTCAACTTTCACCAAACGTCTCGCAACTGTGCCCCTGGCCTTGCGCCGACGACTCCGTTGCCATTTCCGGAATGAAGAGCCATCCGCTAGTCTGTGCAGCTTCTTTGCCGCTCTGCGCATCCAATCAGGAACGTGATATTCATCACCAACACCGTGTTTATTTAGGATATTCTTCATCAAGCCGTCAAGCTGACCCTCGCAAGCGGCCCTGAACATTCGTGTCATCACGTCGTTCTCATCTGTCTCGCGCTGTCGGCGGAACTCATCAACGAGTTTCTCCCCAAAATAGACTCGGAAGAGAGGCAGTACATAGTTGACCGCGCTCAGCCTCGTTGGAGGTTGAGAGGCCATTCATGCCTACAGGTGTTGACGAGGGGCAGAGTTGCTTCTGGCTTACGTTAAGTAGGGCGGGCGATGTAAGTGGAAACTTGATACTGTCCGAGATTTTGCAGGGGGCTTATGCGAAGTTGATGGTGCCAAGAAAATCTGGAAATAGGACTCCAAGAAGTTGCTTGTAGAATCGTGGGTTTGCCTCTGCATTCGGATGCCGGTGGGTTGCTTCATTATTATCTCCTGATCAACAGCGGCGATTGGTAACACCTCGCCAGAGACAACATGTTTGTGAGATATCAGAGACCGAGGTCTAGTCTTTGTGTGTGTATTTCTCGTCATGCACAAATAGGAAGGTACTGGGCATTGGTTCTGTGGGTAGCTGAAGGTCGTTGGATTGGCCTTTGTTGGCGAATCGGTATTTCATGTTGAAATCACGATGCATTGCAAGTTGAACGAGACGCATTGGCTGTTACTTTGTCCTGTAATTGAACACAATACTCTCTATTGTCATGATCTCGGCCAGCCCGGGTAATCACAGAACCTGTATGTCCATTTCCTTCATCTTAGCAGACTGATGATAGGTCACTTATCGATAGACATGATGCGGCATGCGGCAACTCCGATATCAAGATCTGTTTACATGATTAGACTTGAGATAGCGATATGAAATCTCCGTTTCTGCCCTATGGTGTTTGGTTATCTCTATCAAATTTGCATTCATCGATGTTATAACATGATATTCAGGCATGGGGCTGCGAACCCCCTCAATTAACGATCACAACTCATCGACACTAAGAACTACAATACTTCTAGTAGGAACTAGCCATAGCGCTCAACCGGCCGCCATCGATGACCATGATCGAGCCATTTGAATAGCTGCCGGATCGACTGGTGAGGTAGAGAATTGCTCCGGTCATCTCCTCATCCCCTCCAAACCTCCTCGCAGGAATGAACTTCGTATCATCAGGAGACTCCGTCTCTGGCTTGCGGTCACCGATGAGCCCAGCAGCAATTTCTGAGGGGAATACTGGAGTCTGTTAGTTTTGTGGAATTGAGCTGCAGGATCAGAACGGTGATACTTACGTCCAGGGGCAATTCCGTTCACTCGAATGCCATGTCTAGCCAATTGGCTGCTGGCCTGCTTAGTGAGCTGCATGATGGCAGTCTTGCTAGCCAAATACGGGGGTGTCGAGGAGAAATGCCGACTGAAAGCCGAAATACTGCTCGTAAAGATGACTTGACTCTGAATAGCGATAACGTCGCTGCCTTCCTGGTCCGGCTTGCCGAAACCACCCTTGAGAGCATTCTTGTTACCGGCATCAAGGAGTTCAAGGAAGGCTGACATGGTGAAAAAGGCAGCTGTGATGTTCACATGCAGAACCTCCGTCATTTCCGTCATAGAAAAGTCATCGAAGAGAATCTTCTTCAGATCGGACACGGAATGCGCCGGGTTGAAGCGAACCGAAGGACCAAGAACACCTGAATTGGCGATGACGAGGTTGACATAGCCGACTTCCTTAGTGATACGGTTGACAATGGATTGGAGGTCTTCCTTTGAGGTGACGTCGCATTTGTGCGGGATCAGGTTGGGATGTTCTTTGGCTGCGGCCTCAAGCACCTGAAGACGGCGCCCAAGGATGTAGACCTTGGCGGCACCTTGAGATACCAGTGCCCTCGCCATTGTGAGGCCGATGCCTAGATGCGGTCTTAGAACTGGGCTCATCAACATCTTAACGGAGGATGCATACCTGTCCCGCCGCCTGTGATCACGGCGACGATGCCGTCGACTCTGAAAATTGCTTTCGAATCCATCGCTGCTTCGTCTTCTAGTGGACTCTTTGCAAAATTGTAAGAGAGCGGTCGGTTCCGATGAACAAGGTCGGGGAATGATCCCCGTGGTGTTGTCGGACTTCTCCATCATATATACTTCAGCCCCCGCGCCAATGTCCGGACAACAGACGTGGCGTCCATAAGGTGTAAGCACCTCCTGCAGCCACATCCGTGCCTTGTGCCAGGTTACAGCTAGAACTTCAACGACAAAGGATCAACAGGCCGCGTCTAAACTGGCATCCTGAGCCAATTGTACTCTTTGGTGATGTGACCCACTTTATCTCGTAAAGTAGTTCAAAGTAAGAGCTCCGATTGTTGTCTAGATTGAGCAACCTGTAAGCGACGGCTCAAGTGCTAACAGCGGCTGGCAGGAAGGATCATGGTGATTATCGCTGGTCAGCTGGGTTTACAAATCAAACAATTTTACAAATCGAATCGGTTGACAAATTCAATCAGTTTACAAATCGAATTTCGCTGGGGCCCGGCGGCGCTCCTCCTGCGATGGACCAACGCTCGGCGGCGCTCCACCTCAACATTTGATCATGATTTCTATCTTATGACGTCGGATCACCTGTATTTGCAGCCTACTTCAGCTCTCCGCATCATTTACCCTGGGTAACCAGACTGATTGCATGCCTCCCCTTTGAGCCTCGCCGTGTCGTCGGCCGAGGTGTTGAGTCAGGATTAAGTTGACTGATTTCGTGTTTGAAAACATAGTCTATTGATTCTAGGCCTCTATATGTGTGTCTCATTCTATAAGCCTGACTGCAGGTCTAGTAGATGCTCCAGTCACCATTCATTTTCAGGTCAGGGGTGTGAATCCCCTGTTTCTCTTTCTCAGTCTCCTCCTGCATGGTCCAGTTGGGTTCCCATTTGAACCCTTTCGGAAGATTTGTGTGCTCAAAGGGAGTGCCATTCTCGAGATGGCTGCGGCCTTCGGCAAACTTTTCAGTGGCGTACTTCGCAGGGTCGTGAGTCCATATCCATTTACCAAGTCCCATCGGGCCGCCCTTTGCTGCAGATTTCATAACCTCTTCAAAACCACCCTTGCGGTGCATCTCTCGTCGATTGGCGAATCCGAGACGCTGGAGTGTAGAAGCGCGTCGGATGCTAGAAATTTAATCCCAAGTCAGTCTAGCTCGAGGGATCGCATGCCACGTGCACGTGCATGAAGCTAAACATACCGCAACAGTTCATGAACCTTGGTTCCGATGTTCGCATCCTTCTTTCCTGCAAGCCGCAAGCATTCCGCAAGAGATTGAGCGTCCTCCAGCGCTGTGGATGCGCCGGATATCGAAGATGGAATGAAAGCGTGCGCACTATCACCAAGCTGAAGAATCCGACCCTCGGGCGATGTCCACTTGGGCTGAGGGTCACGCCAACAGAGCTGCCATTTGACGATGCTGTTCTCGGGGATGTTGCGAATGCCTTCCAAAATCAAAGGATCCCACCCTTCGGTCACTGGTAGTTTACTGACGAACTCGTCACCAGTAATGGTCTCGGCCCAAGACTCTGAGGCGGTCCCATCGTCCTAAAACGGCAGTGATTAGTCAATTCTTTTACAGGGAGAACAATATCGATTGCGAGAGTAGTCGGAGGGCAAGGGCATACCGGCATCGTGATCGCGATGACAATGGAGTCATTAGCGGTGATAAAGATGCAATGGAAATCGTCACTACAATATCACAAGTCAGTATACTGAAAGTTTCATCAATCGTCTGCAAGAAACTTACCCGGAGTGAGTGCGGAGATCAGGTCGTGTTGTTTTGATCAGCTTCTCATAGAGGTTCTTGTTCTTCACCGGGTCAAGGCGGTAGAAGATGCGGCAAATGACGAATCCTGTGGGAACGGCTCTGATTGCTTCTCCCATGACCACTTTGTGCGACTTAGTGCCGAGACCATCGGCAGCAACCACAATGTCAGCCGTCAATCGCTGGCCATCAGCTGTGACAGCAGTGCCTGTTCCTTCGGCAGCATTCTCGATGTAGTCAATGACATTCACGCCAAACTTAACCGGGATGCCTAGACGCATGCACTGGTCGTAGAACATGATTGACATGCCTGGTCGGCTGACCATAGTCCTGATTCTCAGGGGCCAAGCAACATGGGGCTGGACATCGTCTCTATTGTACTCAAATTCTTGAGGAGGACACACTTCTTCACCATCAAGTCTTCGGTATGAACAAAACGCATCCCATGATTGGCGGTGATATTCCTCAAGCATGCTCGGGTAGTCCTTGAAAGTTGCGAGAGCAGATGGGCCGATGAAAATCACATCGCCTATGTCCGAGTGTCAGCTGACCCATTTGCCTCTGATTATTCGGTTTTTTTGCTTCATGTATCGAAACCAAGGCTCACCAATTGTAGAGTTTTTGCTGTTCTTTTCCACAACTTCGACATCGTGTCCCTTTTTCCAGCACTCGAGAGCGGTCAGCAGGCCGGCAGGCCCACCACCAACGACGAGGACCTTGAGTCCTGTAGAGGGCCATCGGAGTACACCGTCTAAGAAAGTGCTTTCGTGCATTGGTTTGGGAACACCATCTTTTGCAGAAGTGCCGTTGTTTTCTTGAGCTATGAGAGTCATGGCGGGCGCTTTTTCGACGATTAAATTATCAGAATCCAGAATTTGGTAATACCATCACTGAAGCGAAAAAACTGTGTTGGTGTAATTGAGACCTCGAAGACCACGATCTTTAGCTTATATACTTGTCCAATGCAGCTAACAACTCGGTCTCAGTTTTGACGAGGATATCTCAATGGTGTAGTGACGGCTTACACGATCGAGAGACGGAGCATGTTGAGTGGGGCTCGATATTGACGGCATTACCATTCTGGCTGGCACGGCCGACGGCTCGGGACGTTAGTCGCCCCCGATTCTCGGTAAATGCTGCATCTGTATGGAATAGGCCGCCAAGGGTTTCCCGAGGCCGTTGTGGAGCGCGTCGGGAGCAGGCCATCAGTACCCAAATCCTTTCTGTGTGGAATTGACTAATCCAAATGATTCATAATAATTGGGGGGTGAGCTGAATCGTATACGCTATACGCCGTTATTGAGTCTCGAATCCGGGGTTGCCAGTCTTGCATCTGTCAACCCGACGGTTTAGCTGAACTCAAACAGCGGGTTGTTGAGATGATGGATCGGAATAGCCCCGCCGGTCTACAACATCGGACGGGTTCTGCTGGACGCTTGTCTTCAAACTTACACGTTCACATAATTATCCTAGCTGGCTCTCGCCAACGAGTTGCTTCGAAATACTCCCTATCCCCCAGTTGCTTGTGCTGTTTTCTCTTTGTTGTGTCCAGAATCCGTCCCGAACTTCATTGCATGGCGCACATACGTCTATCGAATTAACTTATTTACGCCATCGTCTGACAAGCCCAATCGTCTGAACTCTGGGTGGTGCCCGAGTCTGGATGAACCGTAGAAGGCGCCCCTCACGAGTTCCCTGAATTACACCTACTCTAAGCCTCACCAAGCCACACCCAAGTGAGCCGCAACGTATCATCCGTGTCAAACTTTTGGAAAATACCACGAAGACGACAAGCTGCTGCAGCTGGAAAGTGTCGGAAATATCCCCGTCATGTGGTCCAACGACATGACTTCCATGCATGAGCTACCTTGCCATGCATCAGACATCACAACCAACTGCATAATGTTATCGTACGAGCTCCATGCTTCCGGGCGGGGGTGGGTTGGCTATGTTACGCGCGTTGCTTTCTTTTCCGCGGATGTTTCCTCGCTGCAGAGAGCATTTTCGCCGTGATCCCGCACAATTGAATCCGGCCAAGGAGAAGAGCTATGAGAAGCAAACAAATTGCCTGTACCCTGGATGGCATTAAATCACTTGCACTGGTCATTTGGTTTTTTATTCCTTTACATCAATTACACAAACCTCACTTCCGAAAAAGCTAGCAAAGGTTCGCTCAACGCTGCTCTAGTGTCTTCTGCAACAATGCTTGTGGCCGACTCTTCTGCTGTGCCAGACGCGGTGAATGTCGCGCCCACTGTCCAAGCCAACAGCGTGGCTGGGCTAGTCGCGGATGAGGTATGCTGGGAAGTTACAAACTGGCAACAGAGCTAAGAGCCATAGGTCACGGGTGATACTTCATTGGAACTTGGAGAGTTGAGTAGACGATTTGTTTGAGACACACAACATATGAATGTGCTCTTAAAGGTGCTTGAGAACAGACAGTGCCCTAACAAAGTGCCTCAACCTCATTTACGACGCTTCGGTCATGATGGGATGCCCTTAACAGGAGATCCGGCCCTTGGTGAAAGTGATGGAGGAGGTCGGCATTATAGACGTGGAGATGCATATCTTCAAGTGGCCTTCAAACTCCTGGCCGAAGGATCCCATATTCAAGGAATTGGGAATCCGGAATAACGAAAACTTCTGCAACGGCTTCGAGGGGTTTACAATGGCCCCTCTCACAAGGGCACATCATTGGACCCAGAAAGAAGTTCAGCTGTTTCTCATTAACGTGCGAAAGGATTTGAGAGATCAGCATATTCATGCCTACTATCTCCCCGCATCGAAGCTGACGACGTGAGTTAGCTAATCTGTGTTTGGAAGAAAGCATGAGGGAGACAAGGTGATATCAATCTGAGATTAACAGTCCTACCGAGGCCGCTGATGATGGAAATGGTACTAGATGAAGATTTGAGTTTGTTCCAACCTTGGGAACAGCAACACTAAGAAGATGCACCCGTTCGGGTACTTTGCTTCCTAAAGAGCGACCCTTTTGAACTGAAATCGACCAGGCATGTCATCTTGACAACCTCTAGAAACCTCATGGTATGCGATAGTGCTTAGTTAGTTGTCATGGCTTGCGGGACCGCGGGTCCTCCGTTTGAGATATTGAGCTCAATCCACATACTTCCTCAAAAACCAATGCCTTTCGGCTGTGAACATCAAATCACAATGCTATATTCTGCTCTTGGCGTGAAAAGTTCTTTTTTGTAATTATTAAAAGTGAGATACCAACACACTCACAAACAACTGTGCACTGCATATTCATAACTATATCCTGCATCATGGCAATAAGCTCCACGTCGTATTTTACCTGACCGATTCGTCCAGGTACGTGCGTTGGTTCCGTGTTTACGAACCTTGCATTCGCCGTGAATAGTATCTTCGCCGCCAACATGCATACTTGTCTCCAGCCAAGGAGAGGGGTAAAATAGAAATGAATAAAGCTCTTGAGGACACGTGCTAAACAGATCACTGTTGTGATCTCCTCATCCTCAAAGTGAATACAAATCTTGAGGAAACATTGCCAGATCGTTTGCGGTGAAGACCCTGACCTCAAAGTTCGACACCTTTGTTCTTGTTCCATTTCCGACCATGTTCAGCAACACCACAAGCGCAGCCCCTGCTGCCACGAACCTGGCCACCGTCAAAGGCCCAGGACACATTGTTCCGCAAGATGTACAGTGAAAGACGCAAGACCTTGTTTCTTATCAATCGTTGACACGGATCAGGCCCTTGATGACAATACGTCGGAGCTTGGTGAGGTGAGTTCGATTCTTGGTGTCCATACTCTGGACGTGGTCAAGCTAATGATCAACGACAGAGCATCGCTTCATCGAGCACGAGTATTACGTCCTCCATTCTTGATTTTCGACTCGAGAATGGTCGAACGTACCACAAGTACAAGGATGGCCGTGAGTCTTGACTCAATGAAACATCGGCAATAGGAGCACACCTGACATCGATGATGCAGAATACCATATTCCCAATGACGCATCGGAGTCTGATAGGCTGGGTAAGTCCTTGTATTTCAACTGGTCTGAACTACACTGATGAGTAAGACAGATTTGCAACACAACCTTTTCCTTCTGACCTGGGATAACAAGCTGGGTCTCGCACCGCCGAATGCCCCCGACTCGAAGGTGATGAGGGTTCTTGATGTCGGCACTGGCACTGGAATCTGGGCAGTTGATTTTGGAGAGGAGCACCCTGAAGCTGAAGTACATACTCATAAGTGACTCCCATGGCGCAAAGCTAAAGTAATGACAAAATCAGATCCTCGGCATCGATCTTTCTCCTTCCATGCCACAGTTGTAGGTACCTGATACAAAAGTCAAATTCAGCTATTAGCCATTCTGGAGACTGCATTTGCCTCTGGTTCCGTAACACTGACACCGTAAAGCATCCCTCCTAACGTCAAGTTCGAGATTGATGACCTAGAAGAGCCTTGGGTCTACTCGCAGCCGTTCGATTACATCCACACACGGGCGATGAACTCCTCAATCACCGATTGGAAGGTCTACATCAAGAAGTGTTTTGAGTAAGAAGCCCTTGTCCAGAAAGAGTCAGACGAAAGTGAATTATGGTTGTTGACTCATTTTTTCACAGCAACCTCAAATCGGGAGGTTTCCTCGAGCTGCAGGAGTACGATGTGTTCGTCAAGTCCGACGATGGTACCCTGAAGTCGGAACATGCTGTCTCCAGATGTGTCGACCTGATTTACGATGCATCCATCAAGTTTGGAAGACCCTACCAGCACATCGAACCGCTCGCAGAGATGATGAGAGAGGTCGGATTCGTTGATGTTGCAATCCAGAGCGACAAATGGCCCTCGAACGCATGGGCTAGGGATCCCAAGTACAAGGAACTCGGAATGTGGAACCATGAGAATATGTCTTCTGGTGTGGAGGGCTTTACTATGGCCGCCTTCACGCGCATACACAACTGGACAAAGGAAGAGGTGCAGGCCTTCCTGGTCGACGTCCGAAAGGACCTGAAAGACAAGTCTATACATGGGTACTGGACAGTGTTAGTAACAAGTTGTTCTTGGAATTCATATGAGCTAACATCTAATGATAGTTACAACATTCACGGAAGAAAGCCAGAGGCATAAAATAAAGATGGACAACATTAAGGTCGCAGCTTCTCTGCCGAGTGAGATTGATGTCACATTGACGGGGATTGTTCTGCGCACATGTAGCTTCGCAAGTGCTTGCCAATGGAAAGAATATTGAAACTCATTTGTTCAATTTCTTATTCTACACTCAATAAGAAGCTCGATCTCTTACTGTCTCCGCCTCGGGTCATCCTCATTTTTCATCGAGTAATACTGCATTACTACCCGGCCGCAACACTCCCATCCTCCAGGTGTTCGTCCATGGACGAGCCGTGGGCGACAGGAAAGCTTGTCCTACATTATGGTACCAAGGTGCCTCCTTGAGAGAGAGAGAGAGAGAGAGAGAGAGACAGGTCCCTGGGAAGTCTATAGACCACCTTAATTCGGCAACAACAGTAATCGTGAAGCTTGATTACCTCCTTCCGGAGAAAGACCTGGAACTGTAGAATAAATACTTTTCACGCTCCCACTCAAAGACCAGCTTTTACCTGGCTGTGTGCATTCTCCTAAAGGATACATCCACAATTCTGTTTCTGCCTTCTTGAAAAAAAAGATAACCACGCTTTTTTGCCATACACCCGAAAATTATCTCTTCAGGCCTGAGCTCAACCCAAATACACATCAAAACAGAATCAGCACCTACACCAGACGACAATATGTACATTCCTGACAGACGCATTGACTACTTCTTCGCCATCCACGACTTCAGCATCTCCGACTCCAAACTTAAGGCCATGGAAGACTTGCACGGCAGCCCCTGGGACATGCCCCTCCCTCAAGCACTCTTCTTGATTTTTCTCAGCTTCATCTTCTTCGGAGGCATAGCGCTCGGAACCAATACGCTCGTCGCCTACCTCGATGCCCGGTACAGTCCACCACAATACTACTACGGAGACAACCTACGAACGGTGCCCAACCTGCGCGGCTTTCGGGACCAGTCGGAGCCGTTGCCTCGATATGAGCGCGAGGATCCTACTGCAAGACCGCTTCTTGCTTTCGAAGGGAATACCCCGCCGCCCGCATACGGTACCGTCTTCCATATTCCGGCGCCGTATGAAGACGATGAGAACGATGAGGACTACTCAGCAGGATCGTCGCCAGTTGCACCAGACAGCAGCGATACCACTCTCATGGTTTAACGCACACTACATCTCCTTGCAACTACACGGGCTGACCAATCGATGCAGCTAGAGCGTATTGGCTAGCAACACACGCCGCCCAGCCGCCAACCATCTGTCTTAGATTGGTTCGCATGATGAACATCGCTTTCCTACTTCGATTCGAGATGTACTTGGGAGCTCCTAGGTCAAAGACAACAAAACGGGATACGGGGATGGGCATAGGGAGAGAGGCATGTTGGGATGACATCACGAGAAACGGGAGAAGGGTCACAACAACCAAAAGAGCTACAACCTCGAGGTCTTGAGGATTTCGTATTTCGGCGTTCGGGAGTCTTGGCTTTCTGGTAATGAGGCGTCTTGGCCTCTAGCATTCGTTTGATTTAGGAAGGGTCATTGGGGTCATTGGCAAACATGCCGAAGTGAGAGTTCAGCTCCAGTTAGCTCGCTTGACGACAACAATACAAAAGATAGTCCGCATTCACTTCATACAGCCCAATCACCCATTGTCGCACATCTTCCCATCCACTACTGTTGTTTCGCGAATGTTGCCGTGCCATGCCAACCAAGCACAATCTCAACATGAGTGCCTTACCTCCGTGTTGGCTTCAGTGTCTCCAAACCTCAAAAGGGGCTATCTGGCCACAACCACGTCAAAGCAACGAAGCCGTGGACTGCAAACACGTATGATTAATCATCAGCCAAAATTAAAGGAGGCTTGACATAAAATATCAAAAATCGGCAAAACGAAAGGGCTCAATCGGGATTCGAACCCGAGACCTCGCCCAATTTCACGCTGTGCGCAAGGATTGGTAAACCCGAAGGGCGAATCATACCACTAGACCATTGAGCCAGGGGATCCCTGCGGGATCCAATGAGTGGTTTCGACAGTGGCGACTTGGCCTCAGATTGCGCTTTATATAGTCTCAAGATCCTGCTGTGCAACTCACTACTCGAAAACATGAGCGCAAATCCGTGTGAACTCTGAACAGTAAAACATCTTGTATGGTGAAACATAATTAAGCTGCCAGTGCACCGCGACACTACAACAGAAAAGTAACTTTACGCATCCACTCTAGAGTTCATGTCTTTTGGGGTATCTTCACTGCAAACCAGCCAACCTCCTGAAGCCAACATTCTCCACCACCCTCAATCCGCCGTTCAACGTAATAATCCCCTTCCCACCAGCAGCAAGTCCCTCATCCATCTTGCCCATCGCCATCTCACTCATGAATCTGCCCAGAATCTCTGTCGGGCTGACAAAAGACGGCATCGTTGTTCGAATCACGGGGCCAAGAAACATGTTCATGGCGTTGTACAGCGCACCAGCGTTCGGCGCATAGATCTCGACGGCCTTGTGGCCAGCCTTGTCTACGAAAGCAGGTCGGACAGATTCGGCGCGCAGACGCGGGTTCGCGGCGCGCATCTCGGAGAGGAGGGTCTCAGTCTCACCCTTGACTCGGGCGAAGATGGCGCTGAAGCGGCCCGGCGTCTGCGTTGCGCCCTCGCCTGAGACGTAAATGAAGCGGAAGGGTTCGTTGCCCGGCGGTAGGTTGGCGAAAGCCTTTGCTGCTTCCAACGTGTAGTCCTTTGTGATTTTGACATAATCTCTATGGCAGTGTAAGCACTTCTCATGTTTGTTGAGGTTGATTAGAGGGGTTGTGCTTACTCTTTGCTGACCTTGTTCTGGCTGATGCCCAGTGCCCATACAGCGCCGTTTGCGCCCTTGAGCTTGTCGAGTACGTCTGCGTCGTACTTTTCAAAGTCCTTGTGGATGATGACATTGATCCGAGGATCTTTGGCGGCTTCGGCCATGGGGATCGGGCTCCTGCTGAGGACCGAGATCTTCGTGATGTCCTTCATCTTGATCATGGCATCGAGAACGCCTGAGCCTACAAGGCCAGTGGCTCCAGTGAGGATGAGATGCATGGTGTTAGTGGTGTCGATTGAGTCGCGTTTTTAGAAATGACAACAACGTTGGCGTGAAAACGCTAGCTTGTGCTAAAGTGCGCTGAATATCAGAAGTAAACGAGATGAGAGAGTAATCATCTACATCTCAGTCAGGTCAGCAGCGATCCGGCCGTCTTTTCAATCTCAGCCGTCTAAGACGGAGCGGGCGGTGCGGCCGCGTCCTGCGGACATTAAATCCACACTGGCGCCAGAGCAGACGAATTACAGAGTCATCTGCCGGCGGGAGGCGTCCCGGAGTTAGCGCTATCGCCATCTCACGGCGCCTGAATTGCGTGCGCGGCTGCTTCTGGAATCTGCACCAAGGCAGTAAGACCTCAAAAGGACCAAGTCCGAGGCTTATGGGCCTATGAAGGGACTTCTGTTCGTCTGACGGGATACTGTTGCACCGCACAGTTATTAACTCCATCGAGCCATAGTCACAAATTCCTCCTTGACCGGTGTGAGGCATTCATCCGATCCTGATGCTGGCCGGGACGAACGACATCCTCTAAGCTTACGTCTCAAAACTTACGTCTAGGTTTGCCTATGTTGGTACCTAGCTGTCAGAGGAGGACCATCAGCAGCCACTACGCCGCTGAAGCCCCAGGTTGATACATGCTGTCGCAATCGCCCTGAGCTGCAGCTAAAGTAGGTACCTCAGAGCATGAAAGTAGGATGCAGCAGGATTCCGCTGTTATTCCCGCCAAACGCCGAAATTATAGAATCTCCGCAGCGAAAACCTCACTCATAGCCATGCTAAGACAGCGGGTTCTTCATCTTTCGTAGGGGAATTAGGTGGTCTTCCGCCTACCTTACTTGGGCTTCTTTCTTTTTTCCTTCTCAGTCCTATGTTCAATCATTCAATAAAACTCATCATCACACTTGGTAAGTTTTGATGGTCTATCAGCTTCTCGCCAATGTGATGGATCCCTCTATCCATTAATCTTTCGTGTATTTAGTTCTCCTATCGCTCTTCAAACCTGTCCTGTTTGTCAACAAAAAAGAGCGATTTCCCGCAAATAGATTTCGTCGCTGGTGCGTCGCTAATCAAGCACGTGGCCTATGATTGAGCTGAGAGAATTGATTTCCGCCACTCGGTTTGTTGCAGAAAGACGCAATGCTACATTAAATTGTACGCTGATTTTCGAGCAAACACAAGTACAGATGAGTGTGTCCTGGTTCCTCAGACAGTATTACTAACAGACAGAGTGCTGCATCATGAGAACATCTCAGGCATAGCGTTGAAGTTCATGATGTTACTGAATCCGAACCCATTATTGTCCTGAAACCAAGTAAGAACGCGACTTCAAAACAGTCTAGGGCTAGCGGGGAAAAAAACTTACCACGGATGTTGCCCAATCCCAATCCCCAAGCATGTCAACCCCGGCATCAAAGTCCATATCCAGATCGTGTACATCGGGCATACTAACTCCTTCCTCAATTACATCGCCCCCTGCCAACTCCGTAAGCAAATCATGGCACTCTTTGACCCGCTCCTTACACGCTTCCTCGAAGAATTCCTCAATCTTGTCGTCGCTGACACCCTGCTCCAAGCCGTGAATATGAGCAATGAGGAGCACACTCAGCGCGTGGCCCTTGATGTTTGTCTCCCCGGATTGAATCCGATCTCTCGACCACTGATAGACAGCGTCAAGAATGCCGCGCAGCTGATCTTCAGAGCCGCTGTAGATCATGGAGTGGCCGTTCCTCAGTTCCTCCTCTTTGATGTTGATAAGCTCCAGACCCAGCGTCATGACGCCCTGGAAGGGAACAGACCGGTAAAATCCGGCACCGTTGATCGTCAAACGGTGAAAGTCCACTTCAGACGGGGTCGCAGGCTTCACCGCGGCGCCGGTACCAGATTTATCGGGTGCCAAGAAGGCGACCTCGCACAGCCGCAACGCCGTGTCGACGACCATCTTACGGGAGAAGTAGTAAACCGGGTTTCGCAGCGCCAGCGGAGCGATCTGGTGGTGGAGGGCGAAGAAGAGCCGATATGTCAGGAACTGAACGTAGCGCAGTTGGAAGGAGGTGACGGCCGGGTGTGCCTTGAGCTGCTGCATCATCCTCTGGAGGGATTTGCTGAGTTCGTTGCTATGTCGAAGGGTCTCTTCGTAGACTGTGTCTGACCGAAACTCATTTACGCGCTTTGCTACAGCGAGACGAGCTGCGAATGTTCCGAATACGGCCAGGGAGACTGTCATCTGTGTGTGTGTGCCCGGATCTCTGGGCACGGGAAAGGCGGACTCGCCGTCTTCGACGAGTTGCTCGTCGTCTAGGTTTGCCGGTAATTCGGTGTCAAAGTCGTCTAGTGAGATGAGAGGCGGGCCACCGGAATCGATGCTCGTCTGCAAGGTGATCTCCAAGATCGTGACCCATAGCCTCCGGCGCATCTCTGCGCGGTATGGAGACATCTTGATGATGGACTTGGGATCACGGTGCAGTCCCATGTACATCGCCGTTCTGAGGAGGGCACCAGCGCCGATCCAGGTCAGATCGCAGCCGATATTGGCCGTGTGACGGAGGTAATGCATCAAGCAACGGATTTGAAGCCCAGGGATGGTCATCTTGGACTTTTCACAGGGCGTAATAAGCCAGAACATGGCCTCCCAGAACCACTGGATGGCCAGGTTTCTTAGGGTGAAGCGCTCGTCGTGCATAGTGGCTCCGATGCCCATGCATAGCTGCATGGTGATGATGAAGGAGTCGCTCGCCTCGGATGGGTTCAGCCAGTACTTTTCGTAGTCCGCTTTGAAGGTCGGGATGTGGATGATGCGGTGGATGGACTCAAAAGTACGTAGGTAGTTTTCGATGAGGACGTCTGCTAGTTCTCGAGAGGGCATGCTTTTGCCAGTTGAGATTGTGCTGAATGAGGGAGTCCGGCGGGCTTTGATTATGCGGCCTAGCTTCTTGCATTTTTCTAGGTCGACGTAGAGTTGGGATGATCGACGGTTCTCAAACTTTCTTGCAAAGTTGACGAGGCGGTACAACTGGAGTTATTATCAGAGTCAGCTACGTTCTTTCAATGTGACAGGAAGAGTGCCCAGTTCCCCATGGCGGAACATAGGTAGGCACTACAGCTGGATGACGGCAGGATGAGAAATGATAGACAGATGAGTTGGAGGTCATTCGTTGCTAGGGAAAAGAGAGGGAATGGCAAACGTTGAATCAAGATAACTCGAAATGAGAAAATGGTGACTAACCATATCAGCCGCGTTCATCCAATGACTCTGGCCAAAATAGCGAGTCTTGCTGACGCAGCCACGGCTATATCTCAAGCCCTCTCGGAGGCCAGGCACAGGTTGAGGAATCACATCTTCTTCCCGAGCCCCGTACTTCACAGTAAGATCAGATAACTGCTGCTCGAGCTGCTTCACCCTGTCAACCAGAGAATTCACCGTCGACGAGGAACCGGGGCAGCTTCCGGGGGTCGAGGCGGTCTCCGCTCTCACACTGACGGCGGCTGAAGGACGTGTAGGGTTCACTGGCCGCCAGGTCCCAAAGTCCGCTGGGCCGGCATGTTCGCCGGGGCTAGTTGAGTCGAAGAGGGGGTGGCCATCCAGCGTCCTGGGATCATGCGTGGCGGGAGATGCTTCTGACAAGGACCGAGAAGTCGGTATGATTGGTTCCGGGAACCCTAGGCCTGACTCACTGGCTTTGGTGGAACCATGAACGGGGTCTTTGAAGTTTTCTTGCCTTATGCGTGTAGGTAGAGGTGTGTTCACGCCGGCAGAGGAGGAAGAGGAGGTGACGGGATGTCTCGTGGCCCGCAGGGATGAGTACGCCGGGAGTATGGGGTCCGGTAGGCGAAGAGCAGTATGGAGAGAACCATCATTACCTTCGGCCCCATGTTTGGGACTCTTCCTGGGTATTGGCTTTGTTTGTGAGGTGTAGGTGCAGAGCGAGTGCTTCGAGCGGACGCAGGTGCTGCAGGGGAGGTTCCTATCGCAGCGGACTTTCCGACGGCGGCATTGTTCGCATGCCAGGGCAGGTCTACGCCGCTTCTTTGGCGCCGAGGGCTGCTCCGAGCTTCTCAAAGAGTCCATATTGGGGAGTAATACAAGTGTCTGGTAGTAAAATTTGGGAAATGGGGGGATGATGCGATCATGGGACGCGGGCTGGGCGAGCTTGGTGGGATGCTCGGCTTTTTGAACTGAGTCCGAATCCCACCACAACGGATTGGGCCCGGTTTAGAAAGTTGTTGCCTGGGCTGGGAATTTAAGGGTACATGATATTACTAGCAGAGGTTCAAGATATCATATCAGATGATCAGATAAGTGTGAGTTGTGAAGAGGGTCGAAGACGATGGATTTGATGGCGAAGGGAGTAAGACGAAGCTTATCCCCGGCATGTCGTCGGGATTCTTGCGCTTATGGACCGTTTCGCCCGCCATACACCGAGGTTTCCAGCAGTTTGATTGGCGCAGAGCTCTCGAGCTGAAATCACCGAGCTGCTCTCCAATTTGCCGACTTACACGATACCCCGAGAAGGATTCAAAGAAAATCACCGAGAGTGGCGCCTAGTACATCTACGCGGCTTCTAGGAATCTGTAACAGCACGGCTCCATATTTGTTGACGAGATGATAAAAGCTGCGATAACCCACACTCTTATTTACTTAGCATGGCACGGTGGCCAATACTTTAACGCTTTAACGCTACCAATGTTGCGCATAGGTAAGCTGGGCTCATATGCGTTTTCCTCTACACATTGATCTTCGAAATCAGAAGTTCTTGTTAGTTGAGCAAAAATGACTGAGGACAGAAATTGAATTGGGACAATCCGCCTTACTCTGCCTTACTTTTTCATTTTACATTGCCACGATACACGGAATTTCCAACTTGGACGTTTCCAAAAATATGAGAATAGAAACCTAAATGCTACGACAGGGAAAATGGATGAACTATTTCATTGCACTGGACTTCTTTGTTGTCGTGAAACTACACGGCCACAATCCTTCCACGAAGATGTAGACCAGTTATGAGTCAAATCTCCCACGCATTCATAACGGCGATGCTCAGTCGGAGCAGAGAAACCGCTTCAAGGCACCCTATCATAGTCTCATCGGGTTTCTCCCAAGTATCGCATCTAGAAGAGTGGATAACATATTCCACTATCAGACCTAATACTGTATTCATCGTCGTATGCGAGAAATCTGGGAAGTTTCCTTCGCAAATTGGGATGATATTCAAGAGAAACTTATGGCTAACGCAATTCTAGCCAACTGCTTGGAGGCAGCTTTTACTGCCCCACGAAAGAAGATTGTTCAAAATGTTAGCGGCAATCCGAGGAGAGATTTAGGTACTGGCATGCTCGAGACTGTTGCCGAGAACATGGAAGCTTGAACGGACCTGCTCAGACGAAGCTATGGATGATCTTTCTCAAACTTTTACCTCTCGCGACTCTCAGCTACGCATTCTTTCTCTACCTTATGAGGCCGATATCGGCGCCGGAATCGATGATATTTTCAATGAACGGGTTAACAAAACAACATCCAAGAGATGGCAATTGCGTTAAAGCACAATGTTGGCATGTGATTGTGCCTCGAGGCAAGGTAGGCCGTCTATCCCTGACCACATGTCAATGGTCACTCCAGCATCGATGCGTTCATCCGATCTTGAACCACTTCGAGTTAGCGCGCCAAAAGCCACGTCCCTGGCTACCTGTTTGACTGGTTTAACTCGCGCGCACATACAAAGCACACATAAAAAGGCGGAAGGGACTGGGGACGGTTTCAGCTTTTCAACGGTAACTGCTTGGATTTCTAGGTAAAATGGGAATAGGAGACCAAATGTACAAGACAGAAACCTCTTCCGCACCCGAGATGCAGCATTAGTTCAGGAGATCATTGTACACGGGAAGTAGGTTGTGGTAGGGGGGTTCGTTCCTCGTTCGCCGCCGAGCAGATGGTGTATGCTCTCGGCCCGTCTTTCACTGCCCTCCGCTTCCTCCCTTTGGCAAAAAAGCCACAGGTCATATCCATCGGCCTGGATTGTCTATAATTCTCTCACGCCGGATACGCCTCTTCGATACTTTCATCATGCCCTCTTTTTTGCCTCCGCACGCGCAACGCAACGTCAACAACAACGACAGCAGATTTTGCTTACAAAAGGAGCTCGAGGGGGTTCTCGAGGACCTTCTTGAGCTCCTTGAGGAACTCGGCACCAATGGCACCGTCAACGACCTTGTGGTCGAAGCTGCCGGTGATGGTGATCTGGTCATCGAACTCGACGCCGGTAGTGCCGTCCTCGGACAGAGCGGGGACAGCGACCTTCTTGGTAGTGCCGATGGCGAGGATGGTGGACTGAGGGGGGTTGATGATGGCGGTGAAGTTGTCAACGGCGTCGTTCATGCCCATGTTGGAGATGGAGATGGAGCCGCCCTGGTACTGCTCAGGCTTGAGCTTGCCGTCGCGGGCGAGCTTGGCGAGCTTCTTGACCTCGGAGGAGATACCCTCGAGACCGCGAGCCTCGACACCGGTGACAATGGGGGTGATGAGGCCAGTAGGGGTGGACACGGCGACGGAGACGTCGACGGTGTTGTGCTGGCGGATGACATCGCCAAGCCAGCTGGAGTTGGCCTGGGGAACCTTCTTGGAGGCGACACCGATGGCCTTGATGAGGAAGTCGTTGACTGACAGCTTGTACTTGCCGTCAGAGGAGGCGTTGAGAGCCTGGCGAAGCTTGAGGAGCTTGCTGACGGAGATGCTGGAGGAGACGAAGAAGTGGGGGTTGGTCTGGGTGGACTCGACGAGGCGGGAGGCAATGGTCTTGCGCATGCCGCTGATGGGGACGTCCTCGTAGGAAGCGCCGGGAGCAGCGACAACCGGGGAAGAGACAGCCTTCTTGACATCCTCCTCGGTGATCTTACCGCCCTTGCCGGATCCCTTGACGTCGCGGATGTTGATGCCCTTCTCCTTGGCGAGGCGAACGGCGCTGAAGGAGGCGTTGGGCTCACGGTCGAGAGCGTTCTCGAGCTTTCCGGCGGGCTTGTTGAAGTCGTCGGAGGAGTTCTCGGGCTCGGGGGTAGGGGCAGGGGCGGACTCGGACTCCTTCTTGGGCTGCTCCTTGGGGGCAGGCTTGGACTCACCACCGGCGTCGGCGGCGGAGAAGCCTTCGAAGGCGCTGACATCGGTGCCCTCCTCGACGAGGACGGCAATGGGCTGCGAGGGATGTGTCAGTTTGCGCGTACATTATGATGGTGTTGATGAAGATGATCGGCATGATGGCGAAATGCGCCGGCCGGACTCGACGAGGGGAATTGGGGATTTGGGTATCGGGGTGGACATACGTTACCGACGGGAATGTCCTTCTCACCGGACTCCTTCAGGAGCTTGGCGATAACACCCTCTTCCTGGAACTCAAAGTCCATCTGGGCCTTGTCGGTCTCGATCTCGACCAGGACATCACCGGGGGCGATGCTGTCACCGGCCTTCTTCTGCCAAGATCCGATATTTCCCGCTGTCATGGTGGGCGACAGAGCGGGCATCTTGATGATGGTGTGCGGGGGGTAGGAGGCGTAACATCTCAGAATCTGGGAAGAGAGGTTGGTGCGGAGGAGGGCATTCTGACGGACAGTCCGTCTCAGGACCGTGGAGATCATGGTGAATAAATAGCTCTCGCGGGCGGCGCGAAAGCAGGGAGAAATTTGGCGATAGTTGGGCGTCGGACCAGGCTCGGGGGGGCGACGATTCAAGAGGATGATCCTTTTTCAGAGGAAGAAAGGACCGTCGACGTCGAACAATTGAAGCCTACGGGCAATTGAATGACGGGATTGCACGAGACGAAGAGAAAGGGGGGGGAAGGAGGAGAGGAAGAAAGACGACGCGGGATTATTCTGGGACGG